AAGTGGGAAGGTTTTTCCCGTTTTAATTAATTACTATACGGTCATAATGATGACAGATGTCATTCGGTTAAAAATGGCTAGTGCCGGAATTAAAGGAGTGATGGGATTTTTGGCGGGAAATCAGAAAGATTCTCGAGCGCAATCTTTGGTCATTTAAGCATTTAAAGTCCTTCGAATTGGAATGGCACTTTGAAGAACTTGGGGGGCTAATTGTTGGTGTCGGATCCCGCACTAGAGGTCCAGGACCAACCAAAGATTGCCACGTAGTCAGGGTAACAGCCCATAAAGGATAAAGCCCATTAGACCCACAAGTCAAAAGAACAGTCGAAGTGGTTATCACCATAAGGAGAATTCGAAGTGATTGCACTTCGATATGAGTCCGACATCAAAGTCACGGTTAATTCGGTTCAAGGACATTTGGGCCAAAAGGCGAGGCCCATGAAGATCAGAGTCAACTCAAATTCAAACGTTAAGCATTAAAAGCAAAAGATCAAAACGGACGCATTTAAGAGGGAATAATTGTACTTAATTAGCCACTTAAATGTCGTTTTACGTATAAGTATAGAGGCCAATGGCCATGTAAAGGGGATCTCTCTCTTGAGCAAGAAATACTATAGCAATTTTTGTAGCAATTCATAAGCCTTTTACATTCTTATTTTTTGTCCCTCAAGAATAATCTTTCCTATTTAATAAAAATACTTGAGTGTGTGAATCCGACATCCACAATTCTCTTCGATTCTCCTTCCAAAGATCAGACACTGTCATATCCGGATCAATAATAGGTCCATTAGCTTGCCGTGGAGGCAATGTTGGTAACCACGCATCGTCCCAAATCTTTGTATGCTGTTCGTTGCCAAGACGCATCCTTAACCCATGCTCAAGTAAAGCTTTTCCTTCTTGAATTGATCTCCAACCATAAGAAGTGTAATGCCCTATTTTGCTTTTAAATAAGAAGAGTTAGGGTGATAAAGACCTTTATATAACCGAGCAATAAGGCTATTTGGATATTTAAGGAGACGCCAAGCTTGTTTTGCAAGAAGAGCTTTATTGAAATGATGCAAATCTTTAAAGCCAAGCCCGCCTTCCTTTTTTGGTAACGACATTCGAGCCCAGGAGACCCATGGTATTTTACCCCGACCATTTTCTTTACCCCACCAAAACGCAGAAAGCACACTGTTTATCTCATTGCAAATGGTGATTGGTAGAAGAAAGCAGTTCATGGAATACACTAGAAGAGCCATCGCCACATACTTGATTAGAATCTCTTTTCTAGCCGGGGACATGAATTTGGTTGACCAACCTTATGTTCTCTCCTTTACACGCTTGACTATGTAACTAAAGAGCTCAACTTTCTTTCTTCCAAATTGTTCTGGAAGACCCAAATATTTTCCACCTCCTCCTACCTTCTCAATTCCCAAAATCCTTTTAATTCTCTCTCTTGTGCTCAGGAATCTTCATACCAAAAATAATCGATTATTTATTGTAGTTAATCATTTGACCCAATGCTTCTTCATATGTCTTGAAGATTAAAGTCATTCTCTCGCAATTAGAAGTTGTTGCACGACAAAAGAACAGAGAGTCGTCCGCAAATAATAAGTGGGAAATAGACGGGCAATTCCGTGTTACTCGCATACCATGAATATGATGATCTGCCTCTTCTTTGTTCAATAATTGACTTAAAGCTTCAGCACAAATGAGGAATAAATAAGGGACAGCGGATCACCTTGACGGAGGCCCCGAGTTCGCATACCATGAATATGATGATCTGCCTCTTCTTTGTTCAATAATTGACTTAAAGCTTCAGCACAAATGAGGAATAAATAAGGGACAGCGGATCACCTTGACGGAGGCCCCGAGTAGGATGGATTTTACCATAGGGAGCCCCATTTATGAGAACTTCATATATAAGTGATTTCACACATTCCATTATCCACTTTATCCATCGAGAATCAAAGCCCAACTGTTTCATCACTATTTTATTTTATTATTTTATCAACATCAATACTTTTTATTTTATTTTGTTTGAATGTTTAATTGATTGATCCAAAGAATATATGTACAGTACATAAGAGTATCTAAATCAAAAAGAGCTTAAAGAGAACTCTGCATATACAAGCACAAAAGAAAGACAGAGAGGTTAATTGCTTCCCCCGGAGTGATGCGAGAAGAGGAGCCATTGTTGAAAGAGGTCTTGGAGACCTGGTCTGGACATGTAGTCGACGGAGGTAATTCTGTTGCAGATGACCTTTTCAGTTCGCTTGACTAACTGGTGAGTAGTTGAGAAGCGACTTTGATGAATTATGACATTCCTCTCCATCCAAATGAGGTAGGTTGTTGTTTGAAAACAGAGGCGAAGTAGGATGTCTTGTAAACGGTGTCATTTGCCCGCGATGATATATGCTATAGTTATCTCCCAATCTGGATCTCGTCGGTTTCTTAAGAGAGGTCCAGCCACAGCTGATCAAACAGTGAATGAGTATGGGTATGCAAAAGACAGATAGTTTCTTGATTCGTCCGGTTCTCCGCATAAGACACAAGGTTGATGTCGTCCCCAAAGGCGCATTCGATCACTTGTGGAGAGACGGTTACACACCGCTAGCCATGTTATGAAGCTGCAACGAGGAATTCCTTGCCCAAACCACACTGCTCTGCTCCATTTTACAGAGGGAGATTTATCTCTCAACTGCTCCCATGTCTTGTAAGTCTGAGAATTGTGGACACAAGTCGTTGATATCATGCTGCCAAAGAAACTGGTCTGGTCCATCGGAAGAAGCCGTAAGAGTGTAAGCTCGAATCTGTTCTAGTAGCGGCTCCAAATGTGGCATTCTATTTCTTCTTAGTCTTAGACCTATCGGACTTAGAGCTCGCGGACTGAAAGCTGTGAGCAGTATACCGAGAAGTCTTGGTCCATTGTAGCCCGTAATATACAAAATTCGTCATGTGGGTAGCCAGTGATCATACCAAAAGGATACCAATAAACCATCCTTCACAACAGCCCGAATGAAAGGCCTAATCTCCTCCTGGAGTTTTAGTAGCTTGAGCCAAATCCATGAGCCCATTGTGGTACAAAGGGCAGTCTAAAAAACCGTTCCGCATTAAGTTTTGTTTAGTCCAAGTCACCCAAAGTGAACCCGAGAGTGTGAACAATTTCCAAATTAAACGGTAATTAAGCAAACACACGTGAAACATCTTACAAACACCTTAGGCCAAGACACCCCTCTGTTTTTGGTCTACTTGTGTCCTCCCATGAGACTTTAGTGTTTGGATTTCCCGACCATAAAAAAGCTCCACATCACCAATTGTTTATTTACAACATTAATATAAAATAATATAACTTGAATACTAAATAAAAAAATCGTAAAAATCTAAATTATATATATATATATATATATATATATGTATATATATATATATATATATAAAAGAGAAAATTAGCATTAGTACCACATTTGGTCCAAAAGTTATCCCTTCTACCACATTAAAGGCCCAATTATCATTCATACCACTTTGTACTTGTAAAATGAGCATTTTACTCTCCAACCGGTGAGATAAGGAACTGCGGTTGATGTGACCCTACAAAATTTCTGTCGTCCTTTGTCTCTCTCCTAGCACATTGGTAACCGTTTTCGTCCCTCTGGCTAGTAAAACAAAGTTGTCCCCGAGTAAATCCCGATCTTCGTCTTTGGCTCTCTGGCGGAATAAAATAAAGATCAAGTTGTTCCCGAGTAAATCCAGATCTCTGGCTGGTAAAACCACATCATCTGGCGATGGACTGTCAAGAGGAGTTATCCCCGAATAAATCCAGATCTCTGGCTGGTAAAACCACATCATCTGGGGATGGACAATCAAGAGATCCAGTTGTCCCCGATCCAGTTGTCCCCGAATTTAACCCATATCATCTCCCCAAACGTTTTTAGCAATTAATTACTTGCTCTGACCTAATAATTAATGCTTTGTATTACTCCCTCCGTTCTTTAATAAAAGATGTTTTAACCTTTTTATTTTGTTCTTGAATAGATGATGTTTTCAGTTTTCAATGCAAAATTAATTACTTTTTTTATTGGTTTTGACGATTTATATTCTGTAAATTGTTTTTTTATTAGTTGATTAGATAAGAAATGATGTTTTAGTTTAGAATTAAACAAAAATTAAATGATTTCTTAATCGATGTGTATTCTCCTAAAACATCACCTATAAAATAACGGAGGGAGTATATTTTAATGTCTAATAATCATTGTCACCATTTAATGTGGTTGGTCCCCTTTTTCAGCATGCTGTACTTTTTTCTGACGCACATCATTAATTCTCTCTCTTTCTTCTGAGTCATCAAGGGCATAATCGTCCATCGTCTACCATAATACCACAAACACCCTTGTCTATCGCTAAGCAACATTCATATTCTGAAAAATTCCAATTGAATTAAACCGGACAAAAAAAATTTTGGTTTGTCTCACCTTCACTAGGATTAGTCTGTACGCATCAAAACTTAAAACGTTATAATTACCACAATGGCACAACTTCATTTTTAAAATGTTGACGAAGTGATAGATTCTGGTGTTGTTCCGCGGTTCGTTGAGTTTCTTAACGAAGAATATTACCCTAAGATTAAGTTTGAGGCAGCTTGGGCTCTGACAAACATTGCATCTGGAACATCGGATCATACGAAAGTTTTAGTAGATCACAATGCTGTTCCAATCTTTGTCCAGCTTCTTGCTTCTTCCGGAAGCGATGATGTTTGCGAGGAAGCTGTATGAGCATTAGGTAACGTCGCTGGTGATTCCCCCACAAAATGTTCTTAGATGTGGAGCATTGGCTCCACTGCTCATTAAGATTAATGAGCATACCAAATTGTCAATGACTCAATGCTTAGAAATGTTGCATGGGCATTTTCAAACTTGTGTCGTGGCCAGTTCATCCCCACGGTATTTCCGGTTCTTTAACAACTAATTCATTCTACTGATGAACAAGTCTTGACAAATGAATAAACTTGCAAACATAAAAAAAAACCAATGTTGTTATAAAGTGAAAAGTAATTTTGTTGTTTGTCATATGATATTCTAACAAAAACCGTAAGTCTGATTTTACAACAAAACACATCAAGACAACAATGCAAATATTTTATTATATGTAGATATGGAGATGACCAAGATTCGCCATGAAAGACATCGGCTACAATCACTACAAGAAAACAGGCGATTACCGACTACGATCGGCGACTAATTGTGTAGTCGCTAAATTAGACGACTAATATACGACTATTATACGACTAATGTTACGACTACAATTATATAGTCGTCGTATTGTCGCTAATTAACGACTACATACTGTAGTCATTCTAATAGTCGTTAATTAGCGACTATTATACGACTACAATTAAAACCCCGACTATAGTCGTATTTTAGTCGCTAAATTAGCGACTATATTGAATGACTAATGACTGTAGTCGCTAAATTGGCGACTATATTGAATGACTAATGACTGTAGTCGCTAAATAGGCGACTATTTAGCGACTGATTCGGCGGGTCGCATAATAGTCGTTAAAAAGTCGGTAAATAGTCGTAAAATGCCGGTAAAAAACATGTTTTTTTCATGAAGAGGTAGATGGGGTTGGTGTACCGGTTTTTGGCGAGTAAAAGTAATAGTCGTATTTTAGTCGCTGTTTAGTCACCAAATTTGTCTATATAACAAAAATCACTCTCTCTTCTCTTCATTACAACAAACATAATCAACACTTAAAAGAAAAAAAAAACAGAGCGTTTATAAGAAAAAAAAACGTTTATAGTTATTTATTCTAGAGGAATGGCGGAAAATTACAATTATGGCGGTAATGACAGCGGTAATTATCGAGAGTGGATGTACAAGAGGTTCGATGAAGCAACGGGAAATTTTTCAAAAGAATTTGAAGCGGGTGTGGAGGAATTCTTGACGTTTGCAAATAGCCAGCCTATAGTCCAGAGTAATCGCGGTAAATTCCACTGTCCTTGTAGTGTTTGCAAGAACAATAAACATATCTCGGGTAGAAGAGTTATGAGTCATCTGTTTAGTCATGGATTTATGGTAGATTATTATGTTTGGTATAAACATGGAGAGGAACTCAATATGGATATAGGACCAAGTTACATTGATAGGACGTATGTAAGTGAGAATTATGAAGTAGGGGGTAATGTAGCAGAAGATCCATATGTGGATATGGTGAATGATGCATTTCGTTATAATGTGGGGGTTGATGATAACTATTATGAGGATGTTAGTTATCAGAATGTGGAAGAACCGGTACTAAACCATTCGAAGAAATTCTACGACTTGTTAGAAGGTGCAAAAAATCCATTATACGATGGTTGTCGTGAAGGCCAGTCGCACTTATCGTTAGCTGCTCGAGTCATGCAAAACAAAGCGGATCATAATATGAGTGAAAAATGTGTGGATTCGGTTTGCCAAATGTTGACTGATTTTTTACCAGAAGGAAACCAGGCAACCGGTTCGCATTACCATACCGAGAAATTGATGCGCGATTTAGGTCTTCCTTATCATACAATTGATGTTTGTATGAACAATTGTATGCTTTTTTGGAAAGAAAATGAAAAGGAAGATCAATGTCGGTTTTGTGGTGCACAAAGATGGAAGCCTAAGGATGACCGTCGAAGAACCAAAGTACCATATAGTCGTATGTGGTATCTACCTATTGGTCACCGATTGAAGAGAATGTATCAGAGCCACAAGACAGCAGCGGCAATGCAATGGCATGCAGAGCATCAATCAAAGGAGGGAGAAATGAATCATCCTTCTGATGCGGCCGAGTGGAAATATTTCCAAGAGCAACATCCCCGGTTTACCGAAGAACCTCGTAACGTTTATCTTGGATTATGCACAGATGGGTTCAATCCATTTGGCATGTCTCGTAATCATTCGTTGTGGCCAGTGATCCTAACTCCATACAATTTACCCCCTGGTATGTGCATGAATACAGAGTATTTGTTTCTTACAATTCTGAATTCAGGGCCTAATCATCCGCGAGCTAGTCTCGATATCTTCCTCCAACCGCTTATTGAGGAGTTAAAAGAGTTGTGGTCTACTGGGATCGATGCATACGATGTATCTTTGAATCAAAATTTTAATCTGAAGGCAGTGCTGATGTGGACGATAAGCGACTTTCCTGCATATAGCATGTTATCAGGATGGACCACCCATGGAAAATTATCTTGTCCAATTTGTATGGAGGATACAAAGTCTTTTTATCTACCTAAGGGAAGGAAGACGTGTTGGTTTGATTGTCACCGAAGATTTCTTCCTCACGGTCATCCATTAAGGAAGAACAAAAAAGACTTCCTAAGAGGAAGAGACGCATCTAAAGAGTATCCACCTCAATCTTTGACCGGTGAACAAGTTTATTACGAGAAGTTGAATGGTGTAAATCCACCATGTACCAAGGACGTCGGTGGAAACGGTCACGAAAAGAAGATGCCTGGTTATGGGAAACAACATAACTGGCACAAGGAAAGCATACTACGGGAGCTGCCGTATTGGAGGGACCTCAATCTTCGTCATAATATTGATGTGATGCACACAGAGAAGAATTTTTTGGACAACATTATGAATACTCTTATGAATGTGAAGGGTAAATCAAAATACAACATCATGTCAAGATTGGATATAGAACAATTTTGTTCTCGGCCACAGTTACATATTGATAGTCGGGGTAAAGCTCCTTTTCCAGCTTACACATTGACAGCAGCTGCCAAAACAAGTTTATTGGAATGTGTGAAACATGCGGTTAAATTTCCAGATGGTTATTCGTCAGACTTGGCTAGTTGTGTTGATATGGAGAATGGCAAGTTTTCAGGCATGAAGAGTCATGATTGCCATGTTTTTATGGAGCGACTACTTCCATTTATCTTTGCAGAAATCCTAGACCGGAACGTCCACATTGCGTTATCAGGTACTAATAATCACACATTCCATATAGTATTTATTCTACTTATCTTTAAACATGTTTTGATGATACACTTAACCTCTTAATTGTATGTATAGGGATTGGAGCATTTTTCCGGGACTTATGTTCGAGGACTTTGCAGAGTAGTCGCGTTCAGATTTTAAAGCAGAATATTGTCCTAATCATATGCAACTTGGAGAAGATATTTCCACCATCATTTTTTGATGTGATGGAGCACCTGCCTATACATCTCCCGTACGAAGCTGAATTGGGTGGACCTGTCCAATATAGGTGGATGTATCCTTTTGAGAGGTTTTTCAAAAAGTTGAAAGGAAAAGCAAAGAACAAAAGATATGCGGCAGGATCAATTGTTGAATCATATATAAATGACGAGATTGCTTATTTCTCAGAGCACTACTTTGCCGATCATATACAAACAAAATCAAGGTAATTTAATGCATTGATCACTATTTTTGATGTGAATTACTTTTAATTAACTCATTTGGATCAGGTTAACAAGATTTGATGAAGGCGAAGTACCTGTATATCATGTCCCTGGAGTACCTACTATTTTTACTCACGTCGGGAGACCAAGTGGGGAAATGCATGAAGAATGGCTTTCCGAAAAAGACTATCAATGCGCACATGCATATGTTTTACGAAATTGTGACTATTTTCAACCAATTGAGAGGTATATAAGTTGATATCTCTCCTAAAATCACTCTTTAATTTGTAATATACATGATAATTTCTAATATATTTGTTTCTGTTTTGCATAGTATGTTCGAGGATTTTTTATCTACAAAATATCCAGATTTGACCAAAAAAGAACTCTCCACGAAAAGAGCTGAAGAATATCATTTATGGGTGAAAGACTATGTACGTCATTAAATAACTTCTACATGCATGGATTTCAACTTTTGTATTGATGTTGGTTTATATTTATATGCAGGTTACATATTGGAATTCGACGAATCCATTTCCTACTTGGGTTCAAGAGATAGTCCATGGACCTTTGAACAAGGTCAAAACTTGGCCAATGTACTTTACAAGAGGTTATTTGTTTCATACGCAGAAGCACGGAGCTGGACGAAAGACATGTAATTATGGTGTGTGTGTTAAAGGTGAAAATTACACGGATGCATCAAATGAGGCAGATTTCTATGGAACCTTAACGGATATTATTGAACTCCAGTATGAAGGCATGGTCAATTTGAGGATCACTCTTTTTAAGTGTAACTGGTATGACCCTAAAATCGGTCGTGGTACTCGGAGGAGAAATGGTGGCGTAGTAGACGTTCTATCATCGAGAAAATACAATAAATACGAGCCATTTATTCTAGGTATGTACTTATGTATACCAACCATTTATTCTTGATATCATATATATATATATATATATATATATATATATATATATATATATATATATCTCTATAAATCTCATGCAAATTTTTATGTCTACAGCCTCTCAAGCAGATCAAGTTTGTTATATTCCATATCCATATACAAAGAAACCGAAGCAAATTTGGCTCAATGTTCTAAAAGTGAATCCAAGAGGAAACATTTCAGGAGAATATGAAACCAATGATCCGACTCTTTTGCAAACAGAAAATGATGATGCTGTTTTGATGACTACAATTGAAGATCTTGTACCAGACAATCCGGTAGAGAGATCAAACCCAATAGTCCTCGATTACGATGTCTGCGATGCTGAACCAGAAGATGAATTCCGATGCAATTTATCGTCTTCTGATGAGGAAGAACCAGAATCCGATGAACCTTACTAAATATTTTCTATATGTTCGTACTTGTGTTTTTTTGTATGATATTAATTATGTTTATATGTTAAGGTTATCTACTTATGTTTATTATGTTTTAAATAAAAATGCGACATTTTACCGTCTTTTAAACGACTATATATCACCTTATGCGACTAATTGACGTCTAAATAGCGACTAAAATAAATGAAATGAGCCAATTACTCGGTCCAAGCCCAATAACACCCAACCCAGAATATATATTAACTTATGCGACTAATTGACGTCTAAGTAGCGACTAAAATCAATTTAATGGGCCAATTTACTCGGTCCAAGCCCATCAGTAGACGGAACCGCCCGAACAAAAACGACACAACCCTAATTTTCCTCATTTCGCCTCTTTCGATCTTCTTCTTCTTCCCCAATTCTCTCTGAAAACCCTAATTTTTTCTTTCTCTGTTCGATCGATTTCTTCCCCAATCGATCGATTTACTTCGATCTTCTTCTTCTTCTTCCCCAGTTCTCACTGAAATCGATCGATTTACTTCCATCTTCTTCCCCAGTTCTCTCAGATCTCTCAGATGGGTGGCCGAGGAAGAAGGAGAAGAAACGTGCCTAACGTTTCTCAGAGAGTCGTAGGGACGACGCCTGGTCTACGACCTAATAGTCTACCCAGTCAGTACAACTTCACTCCGGCGGTCCAAGTGCCTCCGACGCAGTCTCCTCAAGTACCACCTGCTAATTTACAAGCTCAGGCAACGACAGTCCGGGACTATCCACCGCCTCAGCAACTATTCCAGAACTCCGGAACTCAACCACGTGGAGTTGATGCGACTCACTCAGAAGAAGTGGAGAACAACCCACAGCCTCAAGCGACTCCTCAGCAAGAGGCTCCAACCTCACCAATTGTTCAGGATTCTCCAGCTCATAGTGAGGCTCATCCCCACACGACTTCCTCGCAAGGCAACAACTTCCAAGACGAGATTTCTCACGAGTTGCCGGAGCTGCAGGAGGACTCGCTGCGGGCATTGAATGTGTTTCTTAGTGTGCCTGGTAGGGAACAGTGGACCACCGTGCTCTGTCCCGAACCCGTGGAAAACACCTCATGGTATGATTCTTGCTTACTTCTTATTCTGCCTTTATTTTATGGTTTATGGAGTTGTTGTTTCTTGTTCTATGATGGCTAATTTACTTGACTTATTCGTCAGACCTGTTGCATAGTTAAATTTTGTGTGGACTAGTTGTTTCTTTTTCTCTGATGGGTAATAATCTTGAATAATGTCGACTTGTTGCAGACTTGTGTGTGGACTTGTTGTATCTTGTTCTTTGGTGGGTGATGAACTTGAAATATATGGACTTCTTGTATCCTTGTTTATTTTTTAAGTTTCATATACTATATTAACCTCTTTTCTTCTTTGATTGTTTCATATTTATGGAGGTTTACTCGTGACCATGGGAATGCACTAGTTCGGAAGATTACTAAAGTTTGGACTGGCAAATTTGATGCTCCCTACTATAGCTTTACTTTGGTGCTTGTGGACAGAAGAGAGAGATACTTTCTCGAATTCGCGGTACTGTTTTCTTTCTCCGTCTTTATCCTTCTAATATAGAGTACTTTTCTTGTTTCTCTGTTTTTACAATTCTGTTTTTTTTTTGTAGAAAACACACCATTGGGATCCCTTGATAACAGGCACCGTGCAATATTATTTTGAGGATATATGTCAGCGCCGGATGAAAGATATGGTTAGCGGAGCGAGGACAAGTCGAGAGCGACCTCCATGGATTGGTGACACTCTCTGGGAAACAATGTGCACCTACTGGGACACTGAAGAAGCGAAGAAGAGGAGTGAAACATATTCAAAAGCTCGCAAGTCTGACCGTGGCGGACTTGGTCCTCACGTTCATTTCTCAGGCCCTAAGTCGTTTCAACAAATCAAAGATGAAATGGTCAGTGACTTCATATATCTGTTATTTATTTATCTTTTCATTATGACTGGTTAACACATGTTATTTGGTTACAATGCAGGAAGAGCAACTGGGAAGAGCGGTCAGTGTTGGTGAGGTTTTCATCAAGACCCATACTAGGCCAGATGGTATGTATGTTGATCGGAAGGCGGAGAAAATAGCAACAACATACCAGCAGAATTTGGAACTGAGGTTGTCTCAGCTAGAGGCAGATGCTTCGAGTGTTTCAGATGGCGAGTCACGTCCCCGGGAGCTCACAGCAGAGGACTGCACCACCATCTTTCTGCAGGTTAAGCTTCAATTTTCCAAATTACATTTATATAATCTGGAGTTCAATTCTCATTCTCTAATCTCAGTTGTTCTCTTACTTTTTTACAGTCCACTGAGGTAGATTCTAGAGGAATTCCGTATGGAATTGGAAGCCTCAAAGAGACTCTTGGCAAGCGCAAGCGCTATGGACAGTCTTCATCTTCATCTACATCCTTTCTGGATCTGCAAGAACAGCTGAAGGAAGCTCAACGCAAGATAGAAGAGCAGGCAGCATATAATGAAAAGAGAGATCTTGAGGAAGCTGCCCATAAAGCTGAGCAAACCCGAGTGGCGGCTGAGCAAAAGGAGAAGCTCGCGCACTTGTCTTTGGTAGAGAAGTATCTGTGGCAAACCGATCCGCACTTCCTGGACTTCATGGCCGCTCATTCAGCTCCTCAAGAAACCACAGACCCTCTCTCGCCTCTTCCTCAAAATGATCCATAGGTTTCTCCTTTTCATCTCTCTTTTATCATGAACAAAAACTTTATCACTCTCTTAGTTTTTGATAAGTGTCTTTGATTGTGAATGGTGTGTATGTGTACTTTGATAGTGAATGATGTACTTTTGTATGTGTTTTGGCTTTTATTTGATTTGGAGTTCTTTTTTTTTTATTTGGTTTTAGATTAATGTTGTTTGGGTTATGGAATCAAACTTAGAAATGAAACAAAATCGGAATCCAAACAATTTCAAAACAAAATCGGAAATGAAACAAAATCGGAATCCAAACAATTTGAAAACAAAATCCGAAATACCAAATTCTTATATTAGTCGCAACAATAGTCGCCAATTAGTCATAAAAAAAACATATATTAGTCGCAATATAGTCGCTTTTATTAACGACTAAGTAATGACTATCTTACAATAGTCGTATTTATAGTCGTAAAATAGACGCCATTTAGTCACTACAAATTAACGACTATGTATACGACTGCACTAAACAGACCTTATATGAGTGTTGATTAATAGTAACATAGTCGCCAAATAGTCATCAAATGTTACGACTAATGAGTGACTAATATATGACTCATATATATTAGTCGTATGTTTGTCGTTAAAAGGCGACTAAATTTACGACTATTTATTTTAGCGACTAAATATTTACGACTACGGGTATTAGTCGTAACCTAGTCGTATTATCCAGTTTTACGACTAAATAGCGACTATTGTCGTAGTCGTAAAACGACTGTTTTCTTGTAGTGAATGAAAACAAAAAGTCCATCAAATTCAGCAGAATTCTACTTCTTTTTATGAATATGGTATAATAACTTTGTAAATTCAGTTTTCGAATCCATTTTGAAAACAAATAGAACATGATATTTAATCTCGGTAAATGATATATTACCTGGTAGTGGTACATCTAGTTTGTAATGTTGCGAGCCTCAATCTTAGTACCTTTGTAAATAAACAGAAGGAATGTGTTGCACTTTGTAAAAATCTGCTCCTCTTTCCGACAGTCTCTCCTTCCATTCAGTTTGCATCATTCCTATATACAGTTCTTTCAAGGAAGTGATATATCTCATCCCATCTGGAAGTTCCTTTAATTTTCCACAACTCCAAATAGTCAAAGTGTGAAGAAGGGGCATGGAGCCTTCTTCTACTATCCACTCTTCCCATTCCTTTAATTCAAAAATCGATAGAAACTGTAGTTGAGGAAATCCATTGCCGGAGCAAACCATTCTCTTCCCACAGAACGATTGATACTTTAAATGAACCTCTTTCAACTGAAACAACTTCTCTAGAATGGGCATGGGATCCTCCTCCAAACAACACTCTGTTAGAGTTATGGTCTTGAGGTGAGAAGGGAAATGTTGTACCTCAGGTAGCTTTGGCATATAAATCTTCAAATCCAACTTGTTGAGATGAATGCAATCTAAAACAAACCCCTTTATAATATTCGCGTCAAATCTATTTGCCCTGTGATCTATGATAGTAAGATTTTCCAGGTTTCTCAATCCACCTACTGATGAGGATATAGTTTCTACACTCATCCCATGATAGAAAGAGATTTCAAGAGTCTTGAAGTTGGTCATACCATGGAGATCCCCAAAACTACAATTCCTTGTTAAGAAGTTCTTCAAGGTCTCCAAGTTTACAAGATTACTCAAATCCAACTTTGTCTTCTTAGAAAGAGCCCATGGTAATGAGAGATACCTCAATTCTCGCATCCCCATGAAGAAATCGGGCATGTAGATTACAGAATCCCATTTTACATCTAAATTTAAATAGATCAGCAACTTTAGATTTCGTAGAGAATAAGGTAGATGAGATACCATAGAGTTTTCCAAGCTCAAGTATCTCAAGTGGATGAGATTTCCAATGCTTGATGGTAACTTTCCTCCTTCAAACTTGGATTTAGAGAGATCTAACAGCCTCAGCAGTTGTAACCTTGTAAAGCTTAAACTTGATAGCATACAACGTGTTTCCTGCATAACCGGGGAATGGGGAAACCTGATACCACTCATAACTAAAAGAGATCGAAGTTTTGGATTTTTTATATCTCTTGTAATATGTAATTTAGTAGGACCATGAAAGACAAGTCTGCGAGATCTACAGGGAGATTGAGAGTGCGCCATCGGGGAGCTATCGACAGAAAGTTGTAAGAAGTTCTCTTCTCTGGCTTTAGCCAAACAAACTTCTCTCATCATGTCATGCAAGTGAAACGTTACAAATCTCAAAGTCCTAATGTCTCTTTCCGCAATAACAACGTTTCTCGTCACCAACTCCTCTATGTAGCCATCTGCAACATCTCTAATGGTCGCTCCGTCATAATACCTTGGTTTTGGTATTCCTTCTGCAGCCCAATAATACGACAATTTCTCTACATTTATCGGATAATCTTCTGGGAAATGAGCTAGGTAGAGGAAGCAATGCTTCAAATATATAGGAAGCTCTTCAAAGCTGAGAGACAATACATAGTAAACCGAACTGTCGTTGTTGTCATTGAAATCGGTTTTTCCCACTATATGAGATGTAATGTTCTTAGATAATCTTTTCCAGTCATGCAGTGTGTATTTTGTAGATAACAAACCTCCTAATACTTTGACTGCCAAAGGCAATCCCCCACAATGGTTGATCATTTGCTTACCCATCTCTTCCATTTCCTTATCAACCATAGATTCTGCACAATGTCACTAAGATAAATTATCAATCTATATATAATAGCAATCTCAATAAATGCCTTTTGCATCTTTGAACGGTTGCATCTTTTTATCGTAACTTTTCATTTAAATATTTACGGCATTTTTTTCGGTTGTGTATTTTTATCGCATCTTTTCGTTGAAATATTTACAGTTATTTTTTTAAGACTGTGTCTTTTTATCGCATCTCTTTGTTAACATATTTACGTTTTTTTTTACAGTTATATTTGTTCAATTACAGTCGTATCTTTTCAGTTTACGGTTGTATCTTCATAGTTGCATCTATTCATTTAAAGTTAGGTCTCATATTACAGAGATTTAAATTTTGGTTTTCTAACTAAAATATATATTTTACGGTTGTTTTTTTAAAAAAGTTGCAATCTGAATAAATATTTTCTATGGTTGCAGTTATTTATCGTAACACCTCATAAACAATTGTGATTGTTTAGTTGAACCATTGCAACATTTACTTTATTTAACGAACAATTGTAATTTTTGATTTATTTTATAAACCGTTAAAACATTTGAATTTTTAAAACTAAAATATATATTTTACGATTTTTAAAAGTTGCGATCGGAATAAATATCTTCTACGGTTGCGTTTTTTTTTTATCGTAACCATTGTAACATTTAATTTATTTCACGAAAAAAGACAACTCATGGTTTATTTTATAAACCGTTATAATATTTAATTATCTACAATCACGTTTTTCGGTGTAATTTCTTATAAACTATTATTTCAATTTTAGTTACTAAATTGTAATCGTTTAATTGAACCGTTACAACATTTGGTTTATTTGACAAATTATTGTAATTTTTGGTTTTTCTTATATGAACCGTTATAATCTTTAGTTTATTTGACGAACCGTTGCAACATTTGGTATATTTGACAAACGATTGCAACTTTTACTATATATATGATATCTACGGTTGCGTCTTTCGGTTATAGTTCTTCATCAAATTTTTAATTTTAATTACTATTTAAAATGAATATATTGCTACCGTTTAATAGAACATAGTAACATTTGGTTTATTTGACGAACCAATGAATATTTTGGCTTTCTGATGAACCGTTGTAATCTTTGGTTTATTTGATGAACCGTTACAATATTTGATATATTTGATGAATCATTGCAATTTTAGTTTATTTGATGAATTATTACAACTTTAAGTATATTTGATGTATCGTTGCAACATTGCCTTTTGTAATACATTTTTTAGAGCATTAACTAAAGCTTTTTTTTTTGAACAAAACATTAACTAAGGTTATATCTGTTCATTTAGAGTATTATCTTGGCAGCATGTTTTATTCGTGTTTTTCATTACAAACACTTGGTTCCATTAATTGTGTTTTTTACAAACAACTTTTTATATTTAAACTTTTATGTCTTTTTAACTCTATATATATTTATAAAGAAAAAGTAGTGTAAATTTACTATTTCTTTTTGTTTGATAATTTTCATAGAAGTTACATTTTTTGCTATTTAGCATTCATGTATATACTTTGTTATCTATATCATTATTATTTTATTCTAAATAATTATCTATTTTGGTTATTTGTTAAATTTTTTGAAGATTTTCTCTTTTTAACATAATACAATTTAAAATATTGCATTTTTTATCGTAATAATTTGATGAATATATTTATATAGTTATATTTAAAATTTAAAAATTGCATCTACTCATTATAACTTTTTGTTTAATATTTTTTATTTATGATCGCATCTTTTCACCATAATATTTTGATTATTTTCTAATACTAATACCACTACAGGAAATGAGGGTATTAATAGCAGTACACTATAGCGTTTTATATGTTTATGCTATAGATTAATTTTGTGAAACTATTAATAGCATTTTCGAAAATAGAAACGCTATGGTAGGATGAGCGCGAAAAGCATTTCGTTGTGGCGCTTTTTCCTTTGGTCTATGATAGCATAAACGTTATTATATGTTAAACCGGGAAACAAAAATTTCATTGGCTCCAAAAATTTCACTAAGTACCAAAACGAAAAATAAAGATAGAGAAAGAAAAAAAAAGATTAGGTTTTTAATTTCATTACTCTCTCTTCTCTCGTCTTCCTCTCTCAAACCCGACATTCCTCTCTCTCGTCTTGAAACCCTATCTGAAACTCGATTCCTTGTCTGTTCCACTCTCTCGATCCCTCGCATTCTAAATCCTTCTCTGTCTGAATCAGTCTCTGTCGAAATCCCTCTGGATCTCGATCTCATTCGAAATCAATTTGGTTAGGTGTAAATTGATACAGAAGGTAAATCGATCGATTTCATGGGTTCTTCATGGGTTATTCGCATTGATTTTGTTAATATTTCATGGGTTTGATCCGTTTTTGTTGTTTTTCAAATAACTGTTAGTTGAATCGTTTTTTCTTATGTGAGTTGAATCGATTTTTATGATGTGAGTTTGGGTTTTGTCGATTGATGTATTCGATTTGTGTTTGTCGATTGATGTTTGTCTGAGTTGAATCGATGTTATTTCTGATGTGTAGTTGGATCTGCGGATCTGTAGAATTGCGTAGAGATTTCAGTACACGAACTACAAGGTAATTACGGGTCTATAGTTGTTCCTAAATGAATTGTTTTGTACTGATTCTAAGACTTCATCTCCTTTTATCTTTGCAGAATCTTGATTCCTAGTCTTGAAACTTCTTGTCTACTCGTGTAAGATTTTATTTCTATCTTTTTTTGTTCTTCATTTTGTGTCAGATGTTGTTTTATTGACTGAATAGACAAGTTATGTGAGTGTTTGATCATTAATTAAAGTTATTATCACAAATGTATGTATAATTGGTGGTGGAGCTTGGGTCGTATTGGTGTGAAATGGACAAGGCATGGGCTTGGCTTCCAAGGTATGCAACTGTCTGATATTTTCATAGATGGTTTCATTTGTGATACTAATCTTTGTTTTTTTTTCTTACCTTAGGAATTGCCTTGAGTATGAGATTGGTGCTAGGAATTTTGTTTCTGGAGCATCAAGTAATTTGGGTAATCCTACAAAGATGTTCTGTCCCTGCGTCGATTGTAGAAATGTTTGTCATCAATTGATAGAGACTGTATTGGATCATCTAGTGATTAGGGGTATGGATTTGAAGTACAAGAGGAATCCATGTTGGAGTAAGCATGGGGACAGGAGGGACAGAACATCTGCTGAAGTTCCAACTACAGAGGAAGAGGCTTTTGACTTGATGAGGACAGCTTTTTTTGAGTCTGAAGTAAGAGCTGAACAACCATCTGAGGAGTGGCAGAATCCAGAAGAATCTGAGTTTAGGGAGAAGTTAGAGGAGGCTGAAACTCCACTCTACTCTACGTGTCACAAGTACAACAAGGTTTCTGCAATAACAGTCCTTTACCACATCACAGTGAAGAGTGGTATGTCAGAGAACTTCTTTGATCAGCTATTGACCACAATTAAAGACATGTTGCCAGAAGATAATGTGCTTCCAAAGTCCACTTCTGAGATGAAAAAGTTCTTGAAGGTTTTTGGGTTTGGTTACGATCTTATTCACGCATGTAAGAACGACTGTATACTGTATAGGAAGCAGTATGCTCAGATGGAAAGCTGCCCAAGATGTAGTGCATCAAGATGGGAAATTGATAAACGAAGTGGTGAGGAAAAGTAGGGGATTCCAGCAAAGGTCCTTCGGTATTTTCCAATCAAGGACAGATTGAAAAGGATGTTTAGATCAAAAAGAATGGCTGAGGATTTGCGTTGGCATTTCAACAATGGTAGTGAAGATGGTATAATGCGACATCCAGTGGATTCTATTACATGGGCATGGGTCAATAATAAGTGGCCAGAGTTTGAGGGTTTAAGTCTCTTTATCATATTTTTTGTTAAAAATAATTTTTTTTGAAACTTGTTGTATCAATTCATTATGACATTTTCGTTTGATAATTTTTTTTCTTAAAATTTTTTTCACCGCGATATCACGAGAGGTCTAAGTCCTAGTTTATATAACAAAATACGATGCAATTGGGCGTGATTGAGATATATTATAGCCATTTTATATAGGGATATTCTAGAAAACGTATCTTATATTTCATATTTCTCAAAATTTATATGATCGTGATCAAAATGGTCAAAAGAAAAACATTTCATCGAATGCTTACCGAATAAATCTTTCCGAGGAAATGCTATTTTCTGAAAAAGTTTCCAACTTTCTTCAACGGTTAGGCATTGTGGTTTAAAGTTGATATATGTTGCATCTCCACGTACAGCAACACTTTCATTTCGAGAAGTTAGCAGCACTTTCCAACCTGAAAAATATTTAATTATTTCATATTATCCAATGAATATGCCTTTCTCATCTTTCATTTTACTAATTAGTACCATAAGAGGTTACCTTTTCCCGGTGGAAATATTGGCTTGATTCGGTCCCAATCTTCCTCTTTCCATATGTCATCAAGGACGATTAATGATTTAGATGTTTCTAACAATCGAAAGAGTTCACCCTGGAGTATAGCTTCTTGCATATGCAAGATTCCATCTTTCCCTTCTCTGGGTCTGAGGTTCTGCAAAATCGCTTGCCACACATGCAAACGTGTAAACTCTTGTGAAATACACACCCAAGCAATGCCATCAAACTTATGTTTAACCGTTCCGTGATTAAAAATTTGTCTAGCGAGGGTAGTTTTTCCAACACCACCCATTCCGGTTATTGAGACCACTTGTATGTCGTCTTCTTCCACCAAATAAGTAACCAACTTTTGTACACTTTCTTCCAACCCCACAAGATCGCTTTCGTAGTCCCTAGGAAATGTTTGTCTCATCTCTCTTAGTCTATCATGTACATGTAGCATATACCCACCATCAGCGATAATTTGTTGTACCCCAAAACTCTGCATATCTCGGATGACGTTGGAGATCCTCTTCCTTATGCCTCCAATATCTAATGCATTTTCTCTACGGTCTGAAACAATGCAAGCAATTCTTCTTATACTCTTCTTTATTCCACTTGTTTTCCCAAGTTCTTCCTTAATGATATATGTTTCAATTATATCTTCCGCGTCATAAACAATTTCCTTGATCTCTTCAACACAATTTCTCACTACCGCACTTGTGTGTTTCTTTGCATATGCATCTTTCAGAAAAGAGCTTAACAAGTTTAGCTCACGTTTGAGTTCAATTACTTGATCATCAACTCCCTCAAATTTCTCGTATTCTTGGCTCAGTAGGTCCCAAAGCTTTTGTATTCCAAATGAAACAAGTTCCAAGGCCATAATGACTCCTACATATATAGGAAGTGTTAAAATTAGAATCAAGAGCGACTCCTACATAATGACCTTGTTTTCACATAGACACTTCTCTAAACGGTAAATTTTAAACAAATTTAACGTTTTTTTTTTTTTTTTGGTGGAAAACAAATTTAACGTATTTTATGTTAAATATGTTACAACCTTAATTACCATAAATCAAATATTATTCTATACGTTAATGCTACGTGGTTATTTAATTTTCGAAAAGAATTCTCACATTAAATTTCACATTTAAAAATGCGGTATTTGCAAAAAAAATATTATTTTTCTATGTCTTTTTCCAAAAATACCCTTTCACGTTGTCCATTTTTAAAAATATCTCATTTTATGCAAATGACTAAATTAATATTCTTTGAGTGAAAGTAGATATTGAGAAGGTGAAATTTACCCGCCAAATTATATTTTCCCTGGAAAAATTCCTTCGAAATTCCTTAAAAATCTCTTGAAAATCCTTTCTAAACCCTTGAGAATCTTTTTAAAACCCTTTAAAACTCCTTGTAAATCCTGTAAAAACTATTGTAAATCCTTTAAAAACCCTTAAAACAAATCTTTAAAAACCTCTTGTAAATCCTTAAAAAGTCTTGTAAATCTTTTAAAACCATTGTACTCCTTTGAAACGCCTTGTAAATCTTTTAAAAACCCTTGTAAATCCCTAAAAACATTTTTTTAAATCTTTTATAATCTCTTATAAATCCTTATAATTGTTTTTAAAACCATTACAAAATCTTTTATAAACTCTTATGAATCTTTTAGAACCCTTGTAAATCCTTTTAAAACCTTTAAAAACCCTTGTAAAATTTTTAAAACACTTGTAACTCTTTTTAAAACCCTTGTAAATCCTTTTAAATCACTTGTAAATCCTTTTAAAACCCTAGTAAATCCTACTGAAACCCTTTTTAAACCCTTGTAAATCCATTTTCCGCAAAAATTTCCGGGAAAGTTTTGGTGGGAAAATTGACTTTTTCATTTTGTTAACTTAAATATTTTTCAGATAGGGATAAAATGTTTATTAAAAACATTAAAAGAGGGCAAAAATGAAAATGGCCCAAAGGGGCCATTTTTAAAAAGGAGTATCCAAAAGAAAGTTTTTTCTAACAGTTTCTCTTTAATGGTACTCTTAATAAAAATTATTCTCTTTACATTCTCCTTGCCATAATCAATTTCTATATTTTAAATTATTTTTCTAAAGATATTTTGTAGAAGATATCATATGAGCCTAGGTGAGAATCTGTGACATGCATGGAAGTATTTTATAAATAGTAAATAAGAAAACAGATTCAATTGATTATAGTTTAATAAGAATTTTCACTATAGTGGTTATGTTTGATTTTATAATATGTTTTTCAACCACAATTCGAATATCAAACCAGAATTTTTATTAAATCATTGGATCTCTGGATCAAATAAGTACCATACAAGGTCAACGGTTTAATGATTTCTTAACGAAAAATATATAAATATATATATATATATATAATGAATATATATATATATATATATATATTTATATATATGTATAAACATACTTCTATATAAACTATTTATAGAGAGGTATGTTCATTTTCATTTTTTTTTCAAAATACAATTTAAACTTGCTAAATGAATGGATGTTCAATGAAATGATATTTACTGGAGAATGATATCTATTCATTGGGTTCTTAGAGTTTTTGAAGAATGAAGGCACTAAAATCTTAGTACCCACTTATACATATTTTTTATTCTTTAAACATTTCCAACCTTACTTTATATCTATCTCTAAACTCCATTTGTTACCCATGGGAAAGAAAATATTTGGCACTAACTGAGCGCTTTGTCTTTGTTAATTCATATTTTTATCAGTTTTAGAGTCTTTTTAACACCGAGACTTGAGTCGTTTCAGTAAGAATAAGATAATATTCAATGCTTTTATGTCTTCTTAGGTTTTTACGTTTGATTGAGTGAGAGGAAGAGTTTGGAGTGGAAATGAATCAAGATTGCGTCAAGTGAAGAAGATGAAGACTGATCAGTAAACTTTAGTAAATGGTTAGTACAAAAGACGAAGAAAACCGATCAGTACACATTGTAACGGATCAGTAGGCGTTTTAGAAATTTTTTATTTTTCCGAAATTTAGGGATTTATCCCTTTTTATATATATATATAAATACCCTTTTATATATTTCAGGAATACTCACCCTTTACAAGTAAAAAAAAAATCAAATTTTCCATCATTTGGATAGAAGAGTATTTTTTCGACAAAACGACTAGTTGAAGCGGGAGCTAGATGGTCTTTAGGTTCGGCTTTCAACCTATCGGTATGGCGAGATCATTGGATTCCTGATGTTAATCCAAGATCCGCAAATAGAAGAGGAAAACCATTACTTCCAAGTTTGATGGTTAACCATTTAATTAATCCGGCTTCTAAAGAATGGCACCTTCCCATTTTACAAGAATTTTTGGATCCACTGGATATTCAGCTTATTAGAGGACTGGTTATTAGTCAAGTTTATAAATCGGATAGGCTTATTTGGCATCATACAAAATCAGGAAGATACGCAGTAAAGTCAGGTTATCGGGTTGCTCGTGAGATGACAGAAACGATAGAATGAGGTCCAAATTATAATACATTACCAGCACAAGCTTGGAAAGACAAAGACCCTCCAAAAATAAAACATTTTTTAATGGCAAATTGCTTCGGGATCCCTACCAGTTACTTCAAAATTAGCACATCGAGGAATTCAATGTGATCTTATCTGTAAAAAGTGCGAGATGGCAGAGGAAACAATAAATCATACTTTATTTGAATGCCCTCATTCTCAGGATATATGGGAATTATCCACAATATCTACGGCATCAGGTATCTTTTCTCTAAACTCAGAATTTTCAAATCTAGATTATCTTTATCGAAGGTTACCATCTTCTCCAGATGGGGGGGGGGGGGAGGTGGGAGAACACATACAGTTATGCCTGGATTTTTTGGTTCATATGGAAAGATAGGAATAAAAAAGTTTTTAAGGGATTACAATCAGAACTCATAGATATTTTAAACCACGCTTTGAGTGAAAAATTAATATGGGAAGAAGCTCAGTTAGAACCGATTGAAACTAGCTCTATTTCGAAAATTTTGGAAAGCCTAATTCAATCCATAAGATGTCGGATTGATGTCTCTTGGAAATATTCGGATCCAACTATGGGTATAGGATGGTGGTGTTTTCAAGGAATCGATCAAAAAATATTGCTCGGTGCAAAGTGCCTTCAGAGAGGTCCCTCCTCCCTTCACTCGGAGATGGAAACTTTAATCTGGGTTATGAAGAATATCCTTTTAGGAAGGATCGATTGTCAGGGGTTTGAAACAGATTGTTCGAAGTTAGGCTCAATGATACAGTCACTTGAAGAACGGCTCGCTTTCTCCAATCTGCTAGACGAGTTTGAGTTACTCCGCGTCTTTTTTCCCTTCTTCTCGATTGCTCTTATTTCTCGTTTCTGTAATATCAAAGCGTACTGCTTAGCCCGTTCTTCTAGTCTTTTATTTTCTGAAGTTTCTTTTGTAGACTCTTTTCCTCTTAATTGGACAACCAATCAAGGAGTTATTTATTAATTAAGGTCTGGTTGGCAAAAAAAAAAAAAAAAACCCTTTCATCTACGACCGTACAAGAGACGAGTTTTCTATGCGATTTTCATAGTTTAAGATTGTTTTTAGTTTTTAGGAGTTGTAAAAAAGATTTTTTCAAACCTCTGTTATTCTCTTTGCCTATATGGTTTCTTTATCTACTTTTTATCATGTGTTCTCTGCTTATATGTGAGTAGATCTATTCATTGAGTTTTGAGTTTCTAAAAGATTATTATGTAGATACATGTTAGGTTTCCTATGTGATTGATCTTATAGTTCGTCACCTATAATTGTGCTTATTTGTTTTCAATGAATTAGACCAGTTTGATTACAATCCCTAATCGATTTCATTGTGACACCAAACGTGTTGTTGAATCGATGATCTATTTTAAGTAGGCATTGCTTTCTTAGCCACGAAAGTTGTCGTTAAGGTGTTTTGTGAACATATCAAACTCATATACAATGCTTGTTTGAATTTATATTGAAAACGACAGTGTAGTTGTTAGGGATTTAATTGCATAGATAGTTATTTCATACGAAAGTATGGTAATTTTACAATTGTGTTTTGATTTCAAGAACAGTTGTAAATGCTTCCCTTATTTAATTTGCATTCGTTTCATAATTTCCTAATGATTTTGCTTTAATTTACTCAATGCTTTTATTTTATTGAATTTCATTTTATTTTATTACGTTGAGTTTAAGCATTGCCTATGTGACTTCGCAGAAAATATGATTCTCATGCCATTGTCCATTTCGAAGCATTAATGTCTAACTACATTCAAACCATCAAGAATCACTCTCGTGCTTGCTGACACTATTTTATACAACCTGAAAGACTTCTTAAGACCATTCTAGTGCATACTAGATAATGTTTGATACAAAGAGACTTCATATTTTTGGAATTCGACGAAGACCCGAGAGGCACGATCATCCTCAGAAAACCATTTGTGGCTAAAGCAGATATGATGATTTATGTTAATGAAGGAAAGATTAACCTTCACCTTTATGATCTTGTAATAAAGTTCAGTGTTGAGAAGCTCGTCAAGAAACCCACAATTGATGGTCAATTTTTTTTGGCTTGAAACCGTAGAAGAGATTCCAAGTGAGTTGTACGAAGAAATTTGCTTAGATGATATCCTTGAGATAGCATTGATTTCTAAAAAGAAACCTGAGCTTGGAGTCTTCCACGAGGAGACAACAGAGATGGTATACATGCTCCATTCTGCACCAATCTTGAAAGAGGGAGTTGAGTTTCTTTGTAACACCCCGACCGCCACCTTTCTTAATGGACCCCACGTCCTCTTTCGGCCCGTGGCCCATCCATATCCGACGGTCGGTCCACTACGTCCGGGAGACTTTAAAGAAATGTTTATCGATCCTACAAATCACCACATGATCTTTTCCTCTGTTTTGTCATCACTCACACAGTTCCGACAATCACTTTCCGGAAGGTCACCCATCTTGAATTGCTCAAGCTCAAGCACACTTAACTGTAGAGTTCTCTCAGGACAGTTGACCGAAAAGATAAGTGCACTTTGTTGACATAGGTGGCCAAATCAATTCTTTTGAACCTCTCCGTATGCACCACCACATTCCTGAAACCGGGGTATTACATTCTTAGCCTTGAAGAGGAGGATCCAGCTGTTGTAGATCGAGCAAGGAGGAGTTACTCATACCGATCGGTAACAAACTCGGACCAATCGGTATTGTTGATGACCAAATACCGATACTGATCGATACACACACTATACTGATCAGTAATACCTGAACTGAAGCTGGACTTTTGACCTCTAATTAGAGCAAACGTAAAGCCCCTAAGATTGAGCTTAAGAAACTCCCAGCAGGGTTGAAGTATGTGTTTCTTGGGCCAATTATATTTATGAGGTAATCATCAAATCTAAAATAAATAATGTGGAGACCGCTTTTTTACTTTCCAAGTTGAGAAAGTACATGAAAGCATTGGGATATTCTCTTGATGATATCATTGGGATTTTAGCAAAGTTATGCATCCACCACATGCATTTGGAGGATATATCAAAGGTAACAATAGAATGTCAAAGAAGGGTATATCCTAATTTGTGAGACGTTGTAAAGAAGGAGATCCTCAAGCGTCTAACAAATGAGAAATGAAGACGTTGTACTATATGTCCTAATTTATATAGTACTTCGGCGAGTCCGGTTCATGTGGTTTCAAAGAAATGAAGAGTAAATGTTGTTACAAATGAGAAAAACGAGCTGATTCTCACCAGAACAGTGACAGGACACTAGATGTACATAGATTGAAGGAAGCTTAAGCATACGAGAACTAGGAAGGACCATTTTCTCTCCTTTCATTGATCAGATGTTGAAGCATTTAGCTAGCCATCCTTTTTATTTTTTTTAGATGATTACTCTGGGTTCTTTCAGATTCCTATGGAGGATCAAAAGAAGACTACATTCACATGTCTGTATGGAACATTTGCTTTTCGCATAATGCCATTAGGATTATGCAACGCTCTGGCCACTTTTCAGTGATTTGATAAAAGAGATAATAGAAATTTTTATGGATGTTTTCTCCGTGTATGAGTCATTATTTATCTCATGTTGGGAAAATTTGAGCAAGCTTTTGTAGCGTTGTGTGGAGGATACACATCTCGTGCTTAATTGGGATAAATGCCATTTCATGGTAATATATGGTAGAGTTTTGGGTCATCGGATCAAAAAAAAGGATTCATGAGGTGATAAGGCAAAGATTGAGGTAATGCTGAGTTTACAGCCTCCAAAGATGGTAAAAATATTCATAGTTTTCTCATAGCTATGCTTCATCAAATGTTTTTTGAAGACAGCTAGACCCTCTCACACCCTCTCACATAGGTACCTTCCAAGGAGGTGACTTTTTATTTCAATTATGAATGTCGGAAATCTTTTCAGACACTCAAGAAAGCCTTTGTCAACGCCCCTATAGTGTATCCACCAAATTGGATTCTTCCCTTTGATGTAATGTGTGATCCGAGCAATTTTGTTGTAGATGTTGTTCTATGCTAGTCATCTACTATGCTAGTCGTACACTAAACGAGACGCAAGAAAAATATGATACGATAGAAAAGCAACTATTCGCCGTTGTTTTGCCTTTGAGTCTTTGAGATGTTTCGGTCATACTTGGTAGGTTCCAAAGTGATTGTACACACCGACCATGATGCACTGAGATATTTGATGTCGAAAAAGATGCCAAACCGTTACCTCTGCGATGAATTCTTTTGTTACATAAATTTGATTTGGAAATCAAGGATAAGAAAAGGCATCTCTTGCGATTGAGAATCGAAGAAAATATGCCAATCGATGATAGACTTCTAGAGAAAAACTTCTACAACATATCATTGATAAAGCGTTGCGACCTAAATTTTCCCAAATGAGATAAAATATCAGAAGAAGGAACGAGATGCCCCTATGTTCATGGAGAAAGGAACAAACCGAAGCAGATTCAACTCTGTGGAGATTTTCCGAGTTCTAACTCTCATAAAAATGAGTTCACTTTGGTGGAATTAAGTGTTGAGTTTGCTTTTCACAAAATTAGATTCCATCTCACAGAGATTTTCGAGTATTAACTCTCGGAAAATGTCTCACTTCGGTAGAATCTAAATGATGAGTTCGCTTTTCACAAAACTAGATTCCACCTCACAACAACAAACATTCACGATAAGTGCTCGAGCTCAAGCTCGGAAGAAGCATCTTTGTTGTTCCGTCTAGATTATGGCTCAACAACCCATTGATTGTATTCTGCAAGATTATCCTCTTGGATCCCTTCAATTTGCTTGGACTTTTCACAAAAATTGATGTTCCTAGTTACTTGTTTCGAACTCATCTCAATAAAACATTATAAATACTTGGATCAAGTCTCCGAGTAGTAGTTACCATCCCAAAATATACTTTATAAACCTTATAAATTATTTTATATACGAAAGTTTAAAATTTTAAATAAAATAATGATTAGGGATTGCGAAATGGGTTTCGGAGATTTTATAAAATTATGGTGTTTGCCACAAAAAAAACACCTCTGTTTTCTCTATATTTATGATATGGTATGTATTCTAAATTTGATTCACATTTTGTTAGGCATATATGTATATATTTAGCATGCGAGATCTCAATATGGATAAAATGACGTTGGAGGCTAAACGAAAATATTTCTAAAAAGTAGGTCAGATTAAACTGCTAGCTAGATATCATCCATATTCTTTCAAGTCAAACAGAACCTGAATATATATTCAAGCTTACGTATAGGCTTTATCTTTCGACACCCAGTTGCAAGAGATACAAATACTGGAGAGACAATAGTAGCACTATCACCGATCATTCACTAAATTTAATTTCTGAATTTTGTGGTCAATACTCGAGAGATTTTGAGAAACAAATAGAGAGATCGTGATCCGAAAATAAAGAAATTAGCTACGATGAAAAATAATAACAACAACAAAAGGAGAAATTACTAACCTCTTGAAGGTGCCAAGGATTTCTCTCCTCGTTGACTCGCCGTTTAGGTAGAAACGAGATGGTTGCTGCTTGGTTATAAAGTCTTAACTTACGTTCTGTCATTAAAAGAGATTTATTTATTTATTCTTCTATAATATATTTTGGCTAAAACCATGAAAATTAATAAACTAAAAAGTTATGTCCCTTCCTTTTATTTTATAGAATATTTTGGATAAATGCATGGATATTGTCATTGACGGGAAATCAGTCACAAATTATAAAACATTTCTAGAAAATATTTTCAATACATAATGTCGATAGAAAAGTTATTACAAAATCATAGAATTGTAAAACATATACTCCTTATTTTCCGTAATGAAAATGTTTAAGCGGATATACTAGCATGGAATATATGTATCTATCCACAATATATCATATATGTAAACAATGTTCTCTCAATTTGACTTTTTGAACCTTTCAAATAATACAAAAGCTATTAACCACACATGATTTAAAACGATCATGTTATATTCATCGGATGACATGTTGTCTACAACATAATACTCCTTTATGTTCCTTGTAAATATAATTTTTAATATTTCCACACATATTAAGAAATAATTCATGTTTAATTATGAATATATTAATTTCCCACACAAAACACTTTCCTGTATATACTAAGTTACTAACCAAAAAAAATTAAATTCAACATTTTCAATTAATATTTATTGAACTTTACATATTCTTAACATTAGCTAACAAAAAGTGTATTATAAATGTAGAAAAACATTATTTGAAAAGAAAAAAAGACATTCATCTATAAGGAACGGAGGGAGTATACTATTTAATTTAAATCAAGAAAAAAGAAAAACTCACAAGTTACGGTTTAATCACTGCTTTGTTTTGCCAATCTTAGCTATGAATTTAGTTATCTACCAACATTTCAAAAAAAAAAAGATATTAATAACACATTTTAATAGCACACTTTTGTAACTCCTATTAAAAATAGTAATAAAGATTAGATTAATATATTATAGAGTTTTTGTCGATTTTCTTTAGTCGATTTTCTCAAATCACAAAAATGCTGAACTTTCACATCTTCTTTAGTCGATTTGTGTCTCTGTTTGAATTGACTAAAATAAAACCATGTTGCCCATTTGCTCGTATAAAAAAAGATATACACAGTCACGAATGAACAGCTCACCTACTTTGAATTAACAGGTTATCCACCTTATTATAATAAATAAAAACGATTACTATAGCTAAATAGTATTATGAAAGGAATTTGGTCAAATCTACCACATTTGACCAAAAAATTTTCATTTCTACCATATTTGATAATCATTTTTCACTCATACCACATTCATGTGGCATTGTGGTATGAAAAAGACGGTTTTTCCCTCGGCTGATGTGGCAGATAAAGTGCAACATTTAGGGACGACAATTATCTGGGGGACAAAAAACCTATTCAGAGACAATAATCAAACGAAATATAAACATCAAATAAAATAAAAAGACCGCAATTAGAATTTACATACTAAAATCCAAGAACAATGAATTAAAATTGAGGGACTAAAACTAGCCAACATACAAAAATAAGATCAAATTGTGGAAGACTCAAACTTCGGGACAACTGTACGTAAACTTCTTTTTGTGTGCTCAAAGCCTCAAACTATGAATTTTGTCCCCGAAATTTGAGCAAACAAAAAGAAGGGCAAAATAGTCATTACACATCTCAATTGTGATATGAGTGATAAATGGGTATGCAATGTGGTAGAATGTAAAAGAATTGGACCAAATGTGGTATAGGTGCTAATTTTCTCTATTATCAATTTTTTTTGGAATATATATAAATAAAAAAATTAAGAAACTACATCTATAACCTTCATTCACTTTTTCTATCTTTCGTTTATCTCTTTCACCACCATTGTTAAACCACAAACTTAATTTTCCATCACCATCATCAACATCACCCTCAACTTCACCACCACCACCATAATCCTTGTGTCCTCCAACATTGCAAGAGAGCTTTCTAGCAAAATTCACTAATCCTTTTGGTCGTTTAGAGTTTTCAATTTTCTTCCACCTCTGTTGATATCACGCGCCACCTGACTCTTTTCACCGTCGCATATCTCTCTGATTTTGATATTCTCTGTAGTCCATTGTTATGTTCTACAATTACCACAAGAATCCTTTTGACCCATATATCAGTTTCTTAGATCCAAATGTGTATTGAACAATACTATAAGCAGAGACTGAATTTATTCATTAGGGAGAAGATTACAACATATATATATATATATATATATACTCTGCAGTCTAGTTATTATCTTATAAATAATTACAATGAGATCCTTAATCTCTCTATCTCCTTACACGCCCCCTCAAGATGGAGGCAGTTCCTTAACTCCAATCTTGCGATTAAGTTCCTGAAACCGTGGTCGAAGTAATGGTTTTGTAAGAGAGTCAGCGAGCTTGTCCTTTGCGGAAACATGTGACACCCGAACCGCACCAGTCTGAATATAGCCGCGAACAAAGTGATAGTCAAGAGCCACATGTTTCATCATCGAGTAAAAAACTGGATTAGCGCATAAGTATGTGGCGTCCATGTTGTCACAGTAAATGACTGGTGCCGTCGGTAAGTGAATCCCCATCTCCGAGAGCAATTAACAAACCCAGTGGAGTTCAGACGCTGTATTGGCTACCGAACGATATTCAGCTTCCGTTGAGGAGCGTGAGACACTTCACTGTTTCTTAGACGACCAAGAAACTGGGCTACCGCCAAAATATATTATGTATGCATTGGTGGAGATGTAGTCATTCTCATCACCAGCCCAATCTGCATCTGAAAAGTCATGGAGAGTAAGAGGAGTGTCCGAACGCAGAAAAATACCATGAATTTGGTGCCTGCGAGATATCGGAGAATATGCTTAGTCGCTTGCCAATGTCATCCGTCGGTTTGTGCATAAACTGCGATAACTTGTTCACCACGAATGCGATATCCGCTCTTGTGAATGCTAAGTATTGAAGACTTCCAATTACTGCTCGGTATTCTTTAGCATTATCGAGAATCTGAACAAAGAGTAAGTTTCGGCGAATAAGACATTGGTGTGGAGACTGGTTTGGCTTCTAACATATTCGTCTTTGTGAGAAGATCAATAATGTATTTGCGTTGCATTAAATGTAAGCCTTTGGATGATCTTGTTGCCTCGATACTCAAGAAGTAACTCAACGCCCCTAGATCTTTTAGGGAAAACCGAGCAGCCAAGGATTTGTTAAAGGCAGTGACAAGAGACGTTATACCCGCAATGATGATATCGTCCACATAAACAAGTACGTAGATCACCTCGCAGCCCCGTTGATAGATGAATAATGACGTGTCGGCAAGCGAGTTCTTAAAACCAGCCTGTGAAAGGTAGGTTTTAAGTTCTTGATACCAAGCACGAGGGGCCTGTTTGAGACCGTATAACGCCTTCTTCAAATGACATACAAATTGTGGTTGATCTTTATCGATAAAACCCGGTGGTTGTGAGACATAAACTTCTTCTTGTAAAGTCTCCTGAAGAAAAGCATTATTTATATCAACCTGATGTATACTCCAATTGCGCTTTACTGCAAATTCCAGAGCGAATCATCGGTGATTTAATATTAGGGCAAAACGTCTCTGAATAGTCCAGCCCATATTTTTGATTAAAATCTCTCGCTACCAGCCTCGCCTTATACCTTTCAATAAAATCCATCAGGGCTCGTAGGTGATACTAACTCCCATGTATGATTATGTAGTTGAGCGTCAATTTTCTCTGCCATAGCCTGTCGCCAATGATCATATTTGAGTGCTTCTGCCACCGTCGTCGGAATTCGAAGTGGATCAATTTCCTTGGTTTTGGCTCGGGTTTAGTTTGGTTCTGGGTTTAGCGGTGTTGTTCTTGGCTCGGGTTTTCATTGGGTGAGTGTTTTGTGGTTTTGGATTTGGTTGTTGATTTACAGGCTGTGGATTTTGAGGTGGTGTTGGGGATTCTGATGGAGCAGGTGATAATTGTGAGTCTTATGGGGAAGATGACGAATTTTTGGTCTCTGGGCTATTGGAAGTGGATTGTGGTGTTGGGCTTTGGGAGTAGGAGGTGGATTGTGGTGTTGGGCTTTGAATTATTGGGCTTTGGGAGTGGTTTTGGGTTGCAGATGAGTCGTGGCTGGGGAGAGAATGAGTTTAAGTTTGGAGAGAGTTTGAACCTGAATTTATCGATGATGATGCAGGAAAGTGATCTGGTGGTGACGGTGGCAAAGTCGCGGACGGAGAGGATGACAACGGCGTTGTAGGTTGCGGAGCTGGAGGCTGCGACGGGCGAAGGACCGAGCACAGGGTGCTTGAATGAGTTCCGTTGAGGATTCAGCAAGAACCAAAGATGGTGCAAACGGAAAGCTTGTCTCCACAAATTAGACATGTCGCGAAGTGTATATCCGGCCAGTCTTTATGTCAAGACAGAGATACGCACTTTGCGTGAGTGAATAGCCTAGAAACGCACATGGTGTTGAACGATTCTCAAGCTTGTTCGTCGTGTATGGGCGAAGCCACGAGAAGCATAAGCAATCAAATACGCGCAGTTTCAAATAGTTAGGAGGCTGTTGAAAAAGATTCGCATAAGGAGACACACCTTGTAACACATCCGTGGGCATACGATTGATTAAATAAACTGCTGTTGCAAATGCATATGTCCAATATGATCTCGAAACTGAAGCATGACCAAGCAAGGTGAGGTCTGTTTCGACAACATGACGGTGTTTCCTTTCGGAGATACCGTTGTGTTCCGGCGTATATGGTTGGGACATAAAGTGACTAATGCCATTAGCGACTAGAAATGGTTTTAGTCCAATGAACTCACCACCGTTATCCGAATATAATGTACGAATACGACATTGAAATCGATTCTCCACCAACGCTTTGAACGCCACAAAAACATCTTTGACTTGGGACTTTTGCTTTAGAGGGTATAGCCAGGTGTATCTTGTGAAGTGGTCAACAAGAATAAGGTAGTATTTGAAATTGTCAACATATTCCATTGGAGACGTCCAAACGTCATAATAGAGATACTCAAGAGGTTGGTGAGAGACAATGGTGTTTGTG